CCCCTCCCTCCACAGCTAATCAATGCTATAGGCTACTTCACCAATAGACCATATCAAATATAAAATAGAGATATGCAACAAGCACGTTTAAACAACGACAAACAATAAAATCAAAACCAGCGTTTCAGTTGTTCATTAGTTCAAGTGGCCTTAATGCATGCACGGCTTTTCAAAATTTCACAAAGCGTTTTGAGATTATTTTGAATGAAATATTGAAGTTTATAATTAAGTGTTTTGGCAGACCACGCCGAGTGGCCCTATGCATTTTTCTAAAGTCGGGTTTTATTCGAACTTTTGCTAACGACAAAAACAGTTTATCTGTCGTCTCTGTCTCCGGGAACTGCGCGTCACAAAAATGAACCGAAAGCCACTTCAGCTCAGTCACTATAAGAAATCGGCTCTGTATAAAGCCTTTAAATGTCTAAATATTCTGGCTAATAAATGTTATCTGATTATGTAATCCATATGAAAACGAGAGGTACAGAGGATGTACTCAAACATGTAGCCTGTAAGCGCTTCCCAATGAGAAAATGACAAGACAAGGGTGAAAATCTCGCTCTAATTAAATGTAGCAGGCTAAATCGCCCTGAATTAAAATGTAAAAACAGATCAAATAATGCATTTGTCGAAATGTTGCGATATTGTTTCATTTAAGTTCATAATTATTCAATACATGTTATTTAATTTAGCAGCATTACCACGAAGCACCGTGGTTCGATATTTATTTGAATAAAAAATAAAAATAAAAAAACTTAATTCACAAATTGCATGCCTGGTTGAAAGGATCCAAAGATCCCTGTAGACTTTAATATTGAGTTGAACATTTTGTTCATGAAAACAAATTAACATGCGTTTTTTCAGATTATATTTAGTTTTGCTTGGAAAAAGCTGGCCCAAACCAGTTTTATTTCATCAATTACTGAAATAATTAAATATTTAGTAATAAGCTTTTATGACAGAAATATCACTAGGCTACATGTAACTTAAATCATTTAATTCCTTCATTATCAACACTGTCTAGAATAGCGATTTAAGTGTGAATTGCGACTTCTCTTTGTGTTAAATCAGCCTCAGACTCCGATAGCCGGTGGGAGGTTGGAGGGACAGTTCAGTGCTGTATCGAGCGCGCAGGACAATAGGCATAGGTGTTAATGTTCCTCTTTCATATGGAGAGCGAGGGAGACTAAATAAACTTGTTAAAAAGAGATTCAGCGCGAGAGAGGCAAAGAAAAACGCATGTTTTAATTTAATTATGTTGCTTTGGACAATTTTCGTTTTGTAGGCCTACTGTTTTAATTGTTTAATATAGCTGTCATTTCTTTGGCAATACAAATTTAAAATGTCGCAAGAATAAGATTAGCCTAGTGTTTCTTATTTTGCATCGCAAAAGAAATAAACTCTAAACCCGATGCAACCCTGTTTTAAATAAAAAAAACTGTCCCGACACTTTATTTAAACCTTGAAATGTTCGAACTTGGTTTCAAACTTAAGTAATTTTAGTGTTCTTTTACATTACACAATAATTTAGCAGACTAAAGACGTGCTTCTTCATTTTCATTTTCTGATGCAATCGGCTGACAATCTTCCTTCATCAGTTTTTGTCCTTTGTGCAGCGGCTGCGGTTCCAGGAATGTAGCAAATTTATGTTGTAATAATAATTAAACAAAACTCTTGACTTTAAATAAGTAAACAGTTATAAACAGTTAGCTATTTAAGCATCAAGAAGGTTAAACATAAACGCTGTAGGGCAACATCGGTTAACAACATGTATGCTACATTGAGATTCGATCCGAGTCGATTGAAGCTCCTCGAAGCTCGTGTTGTTGCGTTAACCACTGAGCTATCGTCTATACGTCTGTGACTGTTTTTATTGCAATGTTTTACTTTTTCATTATTTATTCAATTTCATTTCAGTAGCCTAATTTCAGTATTGTGATTATGAATTATTTTAACTACGTTTCACTTGTTGAATTCATCTGCTACCAGCTTTCAAACGCTCTGAATCAGTGCGGTGCGGCAGCAGATTACGCATTAGAGAGAATAAACAAACACTTTTCAGAGTCTATGATTGTAGCGCCTCTTGGCGGTAAAAGGCAGCAAATACACCCCACATTTTACCACCGCGGTGGAACGGCTGATGTGGGCATTGTCATGGCTTGCCTCGACATTTGCGTTTGAATAGCGCGCGTCCTCCGTGGGCGTGTCAGATTAACGCGTAATGAAGTGTAATGAGCTGGGGAAAAAAAATCTGACAGCACTCTCTTTTCATACAGATTACATAAACTGAGAATATTTGTTTTTTATATAAATTACATCATTAAAAAGAAGAGAATTCAAGCTTCATAAAGAAAAACCTCTCGTGCCTGTATGACAAGTATTTGCAGAGTTAGAGTTAATTTTTCGGACGTGTTTCAGAATGGACTGCACTGACAGAGAGAAGGCAAAACTCGCATCATGTTTATTTTTCTTTATTTGACAAAAAGCACAAAACTTTGTTTTTATTGTGAGTATACAGAAAAATAATAGACAATTAACAGGATCGATTGATGTATAACACTTATATGTACGATCAAAATCAACAGAGTATTTTAAGTCTATTTTTCTGCTATGTGAAAAAAAAACGGCAAAACGCGCGGGCGCGTTTCTGGTCCCCAGAGGGTTAAGGCAGTTCTGAAGGCGAAAGGGGGTCAAACACAGTATTAGTATGGTGTTCCTAATAATCCTTTAGGTGAGTGTAGTTTTCCTTATATTCTGTAGATTATTTAAACCATCAGTGAATCATCAGCCTAACTCTGTACGACTACAGAGAACAACCCCGGATTCTCGAAATTTGCTTCCAAATGCAGAGAAATGCACCGCATCTGCAAAAGTCATTTCACAAAATAAATGGATGTATAATATCTCATCAAATGATAAAGCTCTTAGGTTGGGTTGTTTACAAATTAATTGTTTTTTTGGACTGATTCCCCCAAACACCCACACCAAAACTCATTCTGCACGAATCACATAAATGAGATATTTTGGCTTCAAAGTGGAGAAAATCATTAAAAGGCCAAATATGTTTACGAGTTCATAAAGTATCAGAAATCAAATGTATGCAATTTTTGTTCTGAGGTAAATATTAGGATATCCAGACGTTTTACTGGAAATGGGAATGATAATTGAGAATTATTTTGGCAGTTTAGAAAAAAATGCTATTGTTTGACATCAGCACATGAATTATATATATATATATAAAAAAAAACTTTTGAATCTAAAAAATCTGACTTTATAACTCGCAATTGCATGTTTACATCTCTCAATTCTGACTTTATATCAGAAGATATGTTTTATTCTGTGGCGGAAACAAGCTTCAATAGCAAACGCACATCCAGTACCTATATTTCTATTTAAGCTTATATAATTTTATAATGATTGCTGAACTTGGATTAAAATCAAAATGCTTCTAAATGGTTTAAAATCATTGTTTACTTCAGCTCAAAAAATGGCACCTTATTCATGGAAAGTGACAAACAAACAAACTCATTACACCAAAATGTATTTGAGAGTGATAAGTGGAAACTTATTTGATAAATGCTGAAAAGCATCACAGAAAAGTGATAAATTCCCATATTTATACATTCCTGGCAACGACTATGCCAATAATAGAGAGTCTGAAATGTTTCCTATGCATACGATTAATCACCAAACAGGTTTCATTGACAATAAATCACAGGCATTTATCAATTATTTGATAATAAAAAGAACATTTACAAATCAACAATTCACATCTCCCTGCAAAACCATGACTCTTTCAAATTTCGAAACAAATTGAAATTTAATTCTGGTTGCATCACTACAGTCTCTCTGACCCATTTCTATATTTTCACCATACTTTAAATAGCTTTCAATGTCAAACTCCGCAGCGTCTCCTCAATGCAGGACTGAGAGAAAAATGAGAGGAGAGACGAAGGACGAAGATAATAGGAGAGCGAGTGCAGTAACAATTTAAGGTTCATTGCTGACAGATTGGGTATTTTTACAACAGGAATTAATATGGTCTTGGTTATTACGTTTCCTAGTAGTTTCATGAACAAGCTTCCACAATCTCCATATCTAATGATTAGAGCTATAGATAATTTACAGCGAGTGTCTCTAATCTATAAGGTCTACACAGCTTTATTTCATCCATTCGCAGATAAACACCACAAAACACTGAAGTGAAGTGAGCACTTACTCATCGGAGCGTGAAGATTCTCCACGAATCACATAAATTACATATTTTGGCTTCAAAAGTGGAGAAAATCACTAAAAGGCGAAGACCAAATATGTTTACGAGTTCATAAAGTATCAGAAATCAAATGTATGCAATTTTTGTTCTGAGGTAAATATTAGGATATCCAGATGTTTTTACTGGAAATGGGAATAATTGAGAATTATTTTGGCGGGTTAGAAAAAAAAATGCTATTGTTTGACATCAGCACATGATTTATATACACTACCGTTCAAAAGTTTGGGGTCGGTACGATTTTAAATACTTTTAAAAGAATTCTCTTCTGCTAACCATGGCTGCGCTTATTTGATTAAAAATACAACAAAAATCAGTTATAGTATTAAATATTATTCCAGTGTAAATCAGCTGTTTTCTGTGTGAATATATAGTAGAGTGTAATTTATTCCTGTGATCAAAGCTGAATTTTCAGCATCACCAGTGTCAGTGTCTTCAGTGTCAAATGATCCTTCACAAATCAGTATAATATGAGGATTTGATGCTCAAGAAACATTTATTATTATTATCAATGTTGAAACAGTTGTTGGTCTGTCAGTTGTATAGTTTTTTTTTTTTTAGGATTCTTTGATGAATAGGAAGTTCAAAAGACTTTTGTAACATTATAAATGTCTTTACTGTCACTTTCGATCAAATTAATTATTCCTTGATAAATAAAAGTATTGATTTCTTTCCTCCAAAAAATAAAAATAAAATTCTCACTGACCCCAAACTTTTGAACGGTAGTGTATATAATATATATAAAATGTATTGAGACTTTTTAATTTCACAAATCTGACTTTATAACTCGCAATTGCAAGTTTACATCTCTCAATTCTGAGAAACAAAGTCTTGGTTGATCTTGGTTATTACGTTTCCTAGTAGTTTCGTGAACAAGCTTCCACAATCTCCATATCTAATGATTAGAGCTATAGATAATTTACAGCGAGTGTCTCTAATCTATAAGGTCTACATCCATTCGCAGATAAACACCACAAAACACTGAAGTGAAGTGAGCACTTACTCATCGGAGCGTGAAGAGCCACATGCTCCTGATAGGGGTTGAAGTATTTGTACTGTTTCCCACAATACTCACACGTGTAACTTCCGGTTTCTTCAGGACACAAAATACAGTAATTAGTTAACATGAATCAGTGATTAGCCAAAGACGCTTTACCACAAACTTTCCACTTAAACCATGATAATCTGTCATCAGTTACTCACCCTCATGTCAATCCATACATGTATGACTTACTTTCTGAAGAAGAATGTTTCAACTGTGTTTGTCCATACTATGAAAGTCAATAGGGTCCAAATCTACATTGGAACCCATTGGAGAAAAAACAAAATCGTATTCAAGTAACAAATAGAACTGTATTCAGCTTTGCAATGACATGAGGGTGAGAATATAATGACAGAAATATTATTTTTTTGGTCCTTTAAGCCAGTGGTTCTCAACCAGGCAGACCTCAACAAATCAGTAAAAACAAAGCGTAAAAACAAGCATTAAAATATTAGCTAAAACAAAAACAAGTTTATATACTGATCTATATACAAAGCCAACATACTGATCTAATATTTAAGCTTCTTCTGAGCCCAAATTTAAAGAGTATCTTATCAACAACATGCTAATTCAGGCTTGCAACATGTTAATTCATGTTAAAAATATGCTAATTCATGCTAGCAATGTGCTAAATCATGCTATCAATATGTTAAAACAAGCTAGCAGTGTGCTAAATCAGGCTAACAATTTGTTAAATCATGCTAGCAACATGCTAATCATGTTAACTACCTGCTGATGTTACAACATGATAAAACTTATCAACGTGTTAAAACATGCAAGCAACATGCTAATAATCGTACCATGTTCAAATGTGTTAAGACATGTTAACAAAATTATAATTATGTTAGCAACATGTTACAACATGCTAATTCATGTAACATGCTAAATCACACTAGCAACATGTTAAAAAATGCTAGCAACAATCTAACAAAATGCTAATCATGTTAACAACCTGTTAATCATGTTAGCAAAAAATATTAATCATGTTAACATGCTAATCGTGTTAACATGTTAACAACATGCTAAAACATGTTATCAACGTGTTAAAACATGATAACAACGTGTTAAATCATGCTAGAAACATGCAAATCATGTTCTTTTTTTTACTTTCTCTGAGTAAAACCTAAAGACTTCAAGCTGTTCAAAGTTATTTTAAACTTTCAGACCAGGCTGTCAAGCCAACATCAAAGTTTGTCCTCAAATGTTACTCATCTATTTTTAAGAGTGTTTTTTTTTTTAAATGACCTGGAAAAGACATGCATTTAATCAAATTCATGCTAGCAATGTGCTAAATCAGGCTAGAAACATGCTAATTGCCTGATTCATTCTAACAACATGCACATTTATGCAAGTAACATCCTAATCATGCTAGCAATGTGCTAAATCATGTTAGCAACATGCTAATTCATTCTAGCAATGTGTTAAATCATGCTATCAACATGTTCAAACTTGTTAGCAACATGTTAAAACATGCTTACAGTGTGCTAAATCATGTTAGCAACATGCTAATTCATTCTAGCAATGTGTTAAATCATGCTATCAACATGTTCAAACTTGTTAACAACATGTTAAAACATGCTAGCAATGTGTTAAATCATGTTAAAACATGCTAGCAGTGTGCTAAATCATGTTAGCAACATGCTAATTCATTCTAGCAATGTGTTAAATCATGCTATCAACATGTTCAAACTTGTTAACAACATGTTGAAACATGCTTACAGTGTGCTAAATCATGTTAACAACATGTTAAAACATGCTAGCAATGTGTTAAATCATGTTAAACATACTAACAACATGCTAATCTTTTTTTTCTTTTTTTTACTTTCTCTAAAACCTTCAAACTTCAAGCTGTTCAAAATTATTTTAAACTTTCAGACATGGCTTTGTCAAGCCAACATCAAAGTGTGTTATCAAACTTTACTCATCTAATTATAAGAGTGTGATTTCTAGCAGACCTGGAAAAGACGTGCAATTAATAAAATCTTAAAACTTCATGGGCATTTTTATATCGAATATACAGTTTTGTATTTATGCCAAGCTTTAAAATATTTGATCGGGTATAGAAATTTAGAGTACAACATTTGTTGAAAAATTATTATCCATAAATCGCATACGACTAGAAAAGTCATGTTAATTCATTGATTAAAAAGAGTGTGAACATTGAAAAGCATTCAGCTCTGAACACTTCTGCAATCATGGAATTTAATTTACAGAAAGTAGCCGTGTCGGGCCTTCAAATATCGTTGTGGACGATGTGGGGCCTTGGAGTCAAAAAGGTTGAGAGCCACTGCTTTAAGCTGCAATTTCACAACCATAATTCTACATTACTTTTTTTGATTGCAGCATATTTTATCACTTCGGAAACAAATCAAGCTTATAAATCACAATTAGAAGGTCTGAGTTTTAAATATAACCCGGTTCCCTGTTTGTAGAAACCGATGTGGTGGAAACTCCGCCCAGGAGTGATGACTTCTGTCAACCTGAATAAAACCACAACACTTGAATGGCTGATTGTGCTTAAGCTCCGCCCATATGCGCATCGAACTGAGGGATCAATATCATGTTCATCAGATTTTCAGCGAATCATTCTGCAGCACATTATTACTTCTTTCAGGGAACTGGGGTTAAATTCATAAACCAGACAGATCAGTCACATCAACCCAGCATCATTCAGCAGCTTATCCGTTAAAGTCCCCATGAAATCATAATTGACAATTCTTATTTTCATGGAATATTGCAGTTTCTAATGATTTATCCGTGCACATCATTATTTATTTTTTTATGTGCCTCGTAATCTTGAATCAGAATAACTTCCTCTTGCAGCATCTCTTCTCTTCTCTGATGACGAGGGGGCGGGGCAACCTGTCACTCACATGAGATCCACCAATAGAAAACCACAACCATCCAATCAATTCCCAACAGACAAAATCAAGCCCCGACCTTAATTTTTTCTTGTTCCAGAAGACGTTTCACTTATGTTTCCATGGTCGTGATGTAACATTTGGCTACTTACTAATAATTTATTTTCAGTGGTGGACAGTAACGAAGTAAATGTAATTTGTTACTGTACTTAAGTAGCTTTTTTGCGTATCTGTACTTTACTCAAGTATTTAAATTTTGGGAGACTTTTACTTTAACTCCACTACATTTCAAAGTCAAATATCTTACTTTTTACTCTACTACATTTTCAAAATCAGTCGTTCCTTTTTATTTATGAGTGGATAAAAACGTAACTGGTCAAACGACCCACCAATCACAGTACAGCGCGCGCGCTTTGTTTTGACCTTGCCTTGACGGTCTCTACTAAGCGCGAACCAGAGCCGTTAAATATGAGAGTTGCGAACATAGATGGATGTGACAGTGATCTCGCCGCCGCGCGGTCGCGTTATTCGTGTAGCTCTCAATAGTTCCAAACAAATCGCGTTGACAATGATTTTAAGCGGGACAGAGAGCAGCAGCTATTATAGCAGCAATTATCGGTAAGTATTGATGCATAATGTACATTGCTTACGTTGCCACTAAAATGACTTGCATATAATAGCTTTTTTTTCGGCGGAGTAGCCTAGCAGAAACACTGCATTAATACGTTTTTGTGTTTCATTTTGGAGGGAAATTGGCTGCTCCAATAACATATATTTATATATTCTATGTATATATATGTATGTGTGTGTGTGTGTATGTGTGTATATATATATATATATATATTTAATGACGTTGTGCAGGTTTATGTGAATGTATCATAACATTAAGATGTTAATAATTATTACCATAGGCGCTGGAGAAAAATATATACAGTAAATACTGTAAATGTTTTATACCTTATGGGAACAGTCCCCTTCCCTCCAAAATTAAACAAAAAAAATTAATTCAATTCAAATATATATATACATATATATAATATTTATATATATATATATATATATATATATATATATATATATTATATATATATATCAGACTAATTAATGTCATTTCATTAATAGATTGGTGTGTCAAGAGTGACATTAGTCTTCACTTAGACTGAGTTAAGCAAGAGTCTTGTGACAAACTATAATAGGACATTATAGCCATAAAAAAAATCAAAGTACTTGGATACTTAAGTACATTTGAAAGCAAATACTTTTGTACTTTTACTCAAGTGAATGTTTAAAGGCAGCACTTCTACTTTTACTTGAGTAATATTTTACCTTGAGTATCTTGTACTTTTACTCAAGTGAATGTTTAAAGGCAGCACTTCTACTTTTACTTGAGTAATATTTTACCTTGAGTATCTTTACTTTTACTCAAGTACATGGTGTGTACTTCGTCCACCACTGTTTATTTTGCAAACAAACTTTCATACGTAACTCGTGTACTAATACCCACTTAAAAAAAACAACAACATTGATATGCACAAAGGTGTTTTGACCGCGGTGAAGCAGTTGGCCCAATCCTGGTTATATGGACACTGGGGCTTAAACGGTATATGAAAATTAATTTGCATGATTCTACACTGTAAAAAAATCCATCAAACAAACTGCAACTTAAAGGATTATCATTTCAATGAACTCAAAATTAAGGCAACCAGGTTAACTAAGTTAAACCAACAATATTTTTTTACAGTGTATAAATTGAAACAACAACGAGCAAACTTTGAAGCTGCATCATGTTTTCTCAACTTTTCAGATTTTTGCAGTGTCATCCGAAGTCATCACTCCTGGGTTGAGTTCATAATATCAGCTCGGCATCAAAATGGCCGACATGTAAGGGAACCATGAGTCACAGAGATTTGGAGCACTCTTACTTGGTCCCATTTTCTGGTATGATTCAGTCTCCTCTTTTAGGTCTTCTACGGGTATCACATGGTCATATGGATCTGAACGACAACAAAAAGAGGATTCAAAGTTAGTGTAGGTAAGCCTTTCCACCTTTTAGCAGACTCCTACCTGTGTGTATAAGATCTCTAAGGATGACAAAAGTACTGCTACACCCAATGAGGGACTTATCAATAATTTCACGCCATAGGTGTTACCAATGTTAAAAACTAGTGTTTTGACATCACAAATAGTGAAACAGTGTTTTAATACAGAGGATAATGCATTATCCTCTGCCATCTTAGAAAATTGTGACCCGTGCTGGCAAAAGGAGTCAGAATGAGCAGATTTTCACAAATTAATTCGTTATTTTCACATTCTCCATTAAAAAAAAATTAAAAAAATTATGTATATTTGTTAGAATCTGACAAAAAATGAATGAGCTACACCTGTTTGAAATCGATAGAGTCAGCAAAGTCAGTTTTGAGAAAAATCTAGTTAAAGTTTTCTGAAGGTACCAAAACAAAAATCACCTAGCAAACATACCTTAAAATCACTGGTAATAACACCAAAATTGAAATTAATGGTTAAACTTAATTTTAAGGTGTCATTGTTACAGTCAGTGTAATTGTATATTTACGTACGGAGTAATATTAAGCAACTACATGTACTTACTAAAGAGTTAGGGTAGGGTTAGGGTTTGGTTGAGGGTTAGTTGCATGTAATTATGCATAATTTACAGTTATTACTATGGTAAGTACATGTAACATATGTAACAAGGACACTGTAAAATAAAGTGTTACCAAAATAATTATGTGAAGAATATTTAACATTGTTATCTAAGCAGTCAGATTGAGAAGCGCGTCACTGGTTAAGGGCTACCCATGTAAAAAAATTATGCAACAAAATATCAATAATAACAATAAATAACAAATTGACCATCTCATGTCAAGTTTATAAAAAATAAAAAATTGGCCAGATTAATAGTGATCATCAAAACAGCTGGCAAAGTCCTTTTTAATACAGTCATGATAGTTTCATATTGTGTCCATGCCCACCCATTGTTCAAGATTTGCTACATTAATGTCCACAATCATCTTGTTTTGGTGGTGGCACATTATCACTGAAGTAGCCATTAATAAGTTGAGCAAAATCCCCCATGTCAATTCCTCCGACAAGATTCGCAGACCGACTGAGCACTCTCACTACCACATCCATTACAAAACAGGCATATATCGATGAAATATTGAATTAAAAGCTTGAAAATTTGAAAAGTGTTTACTTTTCGTGTTTTCAGAGGATGGATTTTTGTATATAATATGGATATGATCCTGGAACAACAATCCTGTCCGTAAATTTAGTCCTAACCATATCCCTAACCCTACACATAAGTTATCCCTAATGAATAGCACTGATGTAGAACCAACCAAACCCTGATTGTAAGCCTAAACTTGACATAAACTGTAAACTTGTACCTCAAATCTGATTGGTTGATTGAAATGTTGTTCCAAGATAAACAAAGATGTTGATCCAGGATATTGTTTCACTTGTTGAAATCAGGTTCACCGATACGACAATGGGTGTTTCGATTAATCACCGAAGGCGTTATCGCGACTGGTTAGTAACAAGCTGGTTTTGTTTACATATTAGCTTGGGTTTGAAATCACATTTCACTGGTTCAGACTCATGCCATCGAGAATTCACTGAGAAGATTCACAAAGTACAAGGATACCAAATTTGTGCACCAGCTGTTGAGAAGCAAGCAGAGAAAAACATTTTTTCATGGATTATTAAAACAAAGGAAAGGTACTCCCCTCAGAAAACATGCAAATAAAGATAATTTTAGATGTTTAATTGCCATTTGGAGCATTGGGATCGCTAGACGAGGGCTTAATGAACTCATCTTTGTGAAATCCTCAAATTCGACCAACATTGACATATTTCACTTGTTTTGCCTGTAGCTCGACATTATCCCGTGTGCATTCCCACTCATTTTGCCAGCACGGGTCACAATTCATCTTTCATGAAAATGTCAGTGGTTTTATTGCCACTGGAGTTACAGCCCTCGCTTCATTAGTGAAAGAAAATAATAAAAGAAAAAGAATTTATGATCAGCAATTAATGTCAAGATGTTTATACATATTTACCATCAGCTTTTATGGGGTAAAAAATGTTTTGTAGGATCAAGATCAACAAAGTTTCTTACTGTTAATTAGGAACGTTTTTTGGTATAAGTTCTATTGACAACTTAAAAAGAAAAAAGAAAGCGTCTTTCTTTATATTTTCCCCTCTAAATTGAGACATTTTCCACAAATATAGTCCAAAATAGGACCCAAAACACTTGGGCAATGATCAGTACTCAACCTTCAGAAAATGTTGACCGTCAACCAAAATGTAGTATGTTGGAGATGAAACTAAATTTTATTTACTTCTAAAGTCATCCAGCCATTCACTGCCATTTTCAACCTTGGAAGAGCCAGGAAATGTTTTAATATAACTCTGATTGTATTAAAGAAGAATGTCATATACTCCTATGACTTCAGGGCGAGTAAATCATGGGATAATTTCCATTTTTGGGTGAAAGAAAAGCATTGGATTGATCCTGGTAATAATTTAATAATAATAAATAAATAAATAAATAAATAAATAAATAAATAAATGGGGTCCGACGCGCAGCGAAGTCCATTAATACCTAGACAATGGACACCTCGAAGGGCATTAACCCGCTTATGGTCACTTGCCAAATAACACATTTTTAAAACATTAGTTTATATTTTAATTAGTTTTACAATCGAAATCTAAAGTTTTTACAAACAATAACTTGGTTTCCATGGTTACGCCTGACGGTTTATTTAGCGACCGGAGATATTTATAGTCCGCTCAGCTCGTACAACCTTTCAGTTTAGCTAACTTACGAGCCAGAAAGTTAACGTATTTTATGTCAAATTCTCCAAAAAGGTTAAAAGAAATAACTAAGTCGCTCATTGTTGTATTAGTAGGCTAACTAGATGTTTGTTTTGATACAATAAATTGTAAACGGATATTTTGACTGCCTGTTGCTATGGTTACTCACAGCTGATGTAGCCAGCGCATTTATTTATTAATTTCGAACGGTAAACAGTCAGTTTCACCAGAACTCCTTTACTAGGTGTCCTCTATCACTTTTTAATGGACACCCTGCAGCCAATCAGAATCGAGTATTCACCCAGACCATGGTATAAATAATAGTTAAACCAACAAAAAACATGGGATTTGTGATTACAAAATAAGTAATTGTTATCATATTTGTGAAAGTACCTTCAAAGACTATTAAAGGATTAGTTCACCTCAAAATGAAACTTTCCTGATAATTTACTCACCCCAATGCCATCCAAGATGTTCATGTCTTTCTTTCTTCAGTGGAAAAGAAATTACGTTTTTTGTGGGAAACATTTCAGGATTTTTCTCCACACAATGGACATTTCAAAGGTAACCAACATGTTGAAGTTTCAAAGGGCTTTGAAGAGCTTCAAACGGCTGTGCACGATCCCAGCTGAGGAATAGGGTCTTATCTAGTGAAACCATCGGTCATTTAAAAAAAAAAAAAAAAAAAAAACAGGAGGCGCTACTTACACCTATGTCCAGCGTGACCTTTCCAACGTGATTACGCAATGCGTCGCAGACCAGCACAAGTATATACATTTTTATATTTTTTAAGAAAATGACCGATGGTTTCGCTAGATAAGACCCTATTCCTCAGCTGGGATCGTGCAGAGCCGTTTGAAGCTCTTCAAAGCCCTTTGAAACTGCATTGATTTGGACTTCAACATGTTGGTTACCTTTGAAATGTCCATTGTATGGAGAAAAATCCTGAAATGTTTCCCTCAAAAAACGTCATTTCTTTTCCACTGAAGAAAGAAAGACATGAACATCTTGCATGGCATTGGGGTGAGTAAATTATCAGGAAAGTTTCATTTTGAGGTGAACTAATCCTTTAAGCGATTTAAATTGCATTCATCAGTTCATCAAAGTGCCTGAACTGAATGGTTTGAGGTTGAAATGTCAAAGTGTCTAGTCTTGTTCTAGGTCTATTTGGTTTTGACTACAACTCTGCCCTTTTTTAACAGATATTACTCAATAGGTTTTACAATGTAAAAAACAAACTACCCGTACATGGATCAACTGAGTACGGAGACATTTCAAACAGCTGTGACAGCAACCACGTGCTTACGGACATAGTATAGTAAACCAAGAACTATATATATTAAATGAAAAGAGGGAATACACAGCTCACCATCAACAGCATGGAGGTCTCGGTGCTCCTGAAAACAGCTGTAGTACTTGTATTTTTTCCCACATACGTCACATGTATAACGGAAAGAACCTGGATTAGAAAAAAAAAACAAAGACTTCTATGAATATAAACTTTAGATATCATTGTGTGACAAGATGTCGGGACATAACTCTCTCTTTCACAGCGTTTTATCCACTTTATTTAGAAATGTCCAGGACAATTACCCAAAAATCTGTCCCACGAATAAGAAAATGTGCAACTCACTATTGATTCCCAGAGATGCTCCTTCTCCTGAAGCCGTACCCTCGGCCTCTAAATAAAACCACACAAAATACAGACAGATATATAAACTGGTTATGTAATAAGGTTTCAGATTCAGACTTTAGTTCATTAATGATCACTTTCCATTTCAGTACTTTTGAAGAAGCATTCACCACCCAATAACTGATCCGAACTACACTTCCATTCAAAAGTTTATTTTAAAAAGACGTTCCGATGTTCTTGAAAGAAATTCATGCTTCTGTTAATAGGATATTTCACCCAAAATTGAAAAATCTCTCATCATTTACTAACCCTCATGTCATCCCTGTATATCTATATGACTTTCTTTCTTCATATAAACACAAACGGATATTTTTAGGAAAATAATGCATCTCTTTGAGCCCATGTAATGCCATTGAATGGCTGCCGCTCAGTTGAGACCACACAAAGAGATTGTGACCGTGATCCATACGACCCCAGTGGATGAATCAATGTCTTCAAGAAAAACAATACGTGTGTGGAGGAAAAATACTCTATATATTTATTAACCGGCTAAAAAGAGTCATTTGTTTGTGAGTCAGATGTTTCCTGTTGTGAAAAACCATCAATATGATAGAAAGTTTATGGTAAAGTTCTGAGAATGAATCAGTTCATGATTCCAACTTACAACTATCCTAAATCAAATTCAGAAGGTCAAGAATAGGACGGCACCTGTGTGAGCTCGGACATGCGTCTGAAAGCAGTTGTAGTATTTGTACTTCTTGCCACATACTCCACAGATGTAAGAGCCTGTAAGAGAGAGAGAACAAAAACACGGATATATCAGACAAATGTGTTTCAAGTGTTAGTAAGGTGTAATTACACCTTCAGGCCGGTCACACGGCTTACACTTTAACACAAGCTGTGAAACTACAAGGTGTTCCTTGGAGAGAGAAATTAAGAGATTGCATTCAGATATTTCTGCAAATATCCACTTCTCAGTTCTGATTTGCTCACTATATAAAAATCACGGTAACTAGTGGTCAACCAATATTTATTGCCATGACAGATATTTGGCATTTATTAATGATCACATCAGTCGATAAGTGTTCCTGTTTTGCAAGTGCCTTATTGTGACGCCACTGAAAACATGTTAATATCTCAGAAAATGTAGTGCTTCATGACATTTTAATAAAAAAATATAAAGTTCCCCTGTAGTCATCATTTTGTCCCTTAAAAATCATCTTTGATCACCAAAATGACATTTAAAAATGTTGGTAACACTTTACTTGAAGGGGTGTGCATAAGACTGACATGACACCTTCATAATCATGACATGACACATGAATATGAAGGAGGTTTTATGCATGTTTATGACAACTGTCATTAAGTGTCATTCGCTCAATTATGACATTTTTAATGCAAATATGACATTGTTTGAGATGTCTTTGTTATGACACCTTGACATAAACCAATACATCATAACCTGTCAGTGTCTTGGTAATGACAACTTGACATTATCAAGACAACATAAATTGTCATAAATATGTAAAAAACATGACATAGCAGATTAATTATCAAACTTAAGAAACCACTTAGCTTTATTGGTTAACATTACATTAAACGGTCATGTGGTTGGTTTTGACATTGGCTGTCATGAGGCCATTATAACTGTGTCATGAATATTTTTCTTGACCTCAACTACAGTGGTACAAATTGAATTAGTTTAAAATGAGGCCATTATAACATTTTAATGACAGTGTTTTTGAGACTGTCTTTGGTTCACTGCAGTTTTAAGGAGAAAATACTCAGCAATGGTGTTGACTTTTGAATTTACACAATGAATGAACGAACGAACGAACGAACGGACAGAGGCATTCTACTGTAAACCCAAAGCGCTTTACAATCATGTCGGGGTCTCTCCTCAACCACCACCAGTTTGCAGCATCCACAGCCACAGTACAACGGCACCAGTGTGCTCATCACACACCAGATATAGGTGGAGAGGAGAGAGAGTGATAGAGCCAGTTTAATGGATGGGGATTATTAGGAGGCCATGATTGGTAAAGGCCAATGGAGGGAATGTGGCCAGGACACCGGGGTTACACCCCTACTCTTTATGAGAAGTGCCATGGGATTTTTAATGACCACAGAGAGTCAGGACCTCGGTTTAACGTCTCATCCGAAGGAAGGTTTGTCTTGAAGCATATTAAAAACACCACATAGACATATAAAAAACTTTAAAAGCTTGATTTTCACCACAGGGTTTTCACCACAAAAAAATCTGTCAATCATCAATCATGACATCATTCCTGACAAACATAAAACAGAAGTAATAAAGAAGTTGGAGACTTCCAAGTTTGCATAACCTTTTCACTGATAAAGTCATATTTACACCGACACTACTGGTCAAAAGTTTCAGATTTGTTTTAAAGGTTTTTGAAAGAAGTTTCTTCTGCTCACCAAGGTTGCATGAACTGATAAAAACACAGTTTTGTATTGTAAAATATAATTACAACTTAATTCCAAACTTTTGACAAGTAGTGTGTGTATGAGGGATACACATGGCACCCATTTGTAGAATGTCTCATGACTAAAAACTATTTCATACCTTGTGTTTGCGAGTTGCGAGAGCTCCCCAAAACCACACAGATCTCAGCCGGTATGTTCCCGTCACTCGCTTTGCCGTTACTGGCCACAGACTCGGCGGTGGACGCCACCTCGGTCTTTACGGTGACCGAGGGAAGCTTCGGGGAGGTTGTCGGGACCGCTTGCGTGGCTCCTGCCTCAGTCGGGACCACAGCTGTGTCCTTCGGCTCCTGGCTGGGGTTAGGAACCTCCTGACAACTCATGACTCCACGACTGCTCAGCAAGAGCAAAGGAAACTGTGAAAAACAAAAACAGGAGGTGGCATTTAAAAGGGGATCTAATATGCTCATTTTCAAAGTTTAGATTTTTTTAATTGGGGGCTCTACCGCATAAAGGTTTTCATGCTTGAATGCTCACCAAGCATTAAACTTTTTTCCCCATATTCTCCATTGTTGCGGCTCCTCTCTTCCCAGTCTGTCAGTAATGCTCTGTTTAGTTCCTGTCTCTATGAAGCCCCTCCTTCTGAAAAGCACACTGTGCTCTGATTGGCCGGCTGGAGCGGTGTGTTGTGATTGGTCGAGCGCTTCGAGTGTGCTTGGGAAATTTCCCGCCCCTTTCCATAACCACCAGTTTAACACACTACTAACTAACTCAACCAGGCTCCGCCCCTTTATTCTGCGTATTAATTATTTAAATGAGGAATATTGTGACGTGTTTGTTCCCGGAAGAAACTCAAGAACACAATGGAGGCGTTTCAGGAGTTCAGAAACACTGATATAGAGAATAACTGGAGCTTTGCAGAGTTAGAGTACACATTAAAGAAAGATGAACATGTTAAAAAGCATAATAGGTCCTCTTTAGTGCCCAAATATGAATTTGGGGATATCAATATCTTGTAAACTATTAAAATACAATAAGACCAAGATTAGAGAAGAACTAGAAGCAATCAAAACAAATTCAGAAACTCTATACAGTAGCATAATCTAATTTAACATTGGATTTTGTAATGCAGAGGAACTGTTTTGAAGCATACAATATTTCCCTTCTGTGTGGGAGACATTCATAACAGTTCAGAATAGCGGAGATTTATGTTTGAGAGAACTACAAATGTATATGCATTACCCAGAACTCTCTGGAGAGAAATAAAACCAACTTGATACATGTGTCTGCAATCTACAGAATCTACAGCTCCATCTATATCTACCAGAGGCGTGCTCTTTGAGGAGGAAAGAGAGGCAGTTCCTTCTATAAAAAAAAAATAAAAAAATAAAAAAAAAAATTCTAAATATGAACAAAACATAAAATTGAGTTACGCATAAATCACTATTTTTGGCTCATCAACATCATCAGCTGATAAAATTGCTTGTGATTCTGAGGGGGAAGAAGACATAACGGATATTAGAACATTAATTATTTTACAACCAGCTTTCTTTTTCAGGTCTACAACCATTGGCTGTGTCTGAAACCGAACACTTCCCTACTGCATAGTATGCAAGACACCGCACAGCAAAAAAAAGTAGTACGTCTGAATGCATAGTATTCATAAAACAGTCGGTTAAAAGTCCCCGGATGACCTACTACTTCCACCGAGACTCTGTAGTGAGCATTCAATGGACACTTTACTTTACTTTATCCCATGAGGCCACGGGAGAGGATTAATGAATGACACTGCATTTAGGTGCCAAGTTATCTGCGCTGTCAAAATAAAAGTCCCGCTTCTGACACTTATCGGCCAAACAGAACAACAAAAAAAGAAAAAAGAAAAGTGTATGTATGTATATATATATATATATATATATATATATATATATATATATATATATATATATATATATATATATATATATATATATATATCACTCACCACTAATAATAAAAATAATAATGTTGATATATTTTATGACCAACGGCCAACACATTCAATAAATAATATTACACCGTTTAATTTAACGACTGTAAATAACACAAGCATAACAATTGCTGCAATTAAATAAATATTTTACATAATATTTATTAAGTTCCAGTATGCCTCCATTTAGGAGCTGTGTTCTCAGCGCTGTCAAAATAAAAGTCCCTCTTACAACACTTATTGGCCAAACAGAAAACATATAGACCAATTTTCAGTTGGTAAACATGGTGACGTTTTTATGTGGGCGGAGCTTAGGTGGTGGCAGAACGATCCCTCTGGCCGCTTCACTAACGTAAAGTCTGCAAGTTTTGTTAGCTTGTTTTTAACAATGACTGGAGAAAATCCGATTTTATCTTAATGTGCAAGGTCACTCACTGTCCAGGACCGCGATTGTTATTTGCAAAAGTTAATTTTAACGGACGGAACCAGATTGGCTGACCCGTACACTCATTGAGGATCTGACAGGATTAACGTTAACGCTACCTCCGGTTGAGTGGCCTGACATCTACACCAACCTGATAGAGAAACGGAGGGCATATAAATCTTTAGATGCCTATAACTATGTGCTGAATGGTGATGTGCAAGACGTGTGTGTACGATCCGCAGTTCTGCCTAGCCAGCGCCATGAAGACGACAATGTAAAGAGTGACATTACGGTGCAATTTTAATGAGGTGAATATTTTCTAGAAATAAAAAATTGCAGATAAAGCATTTTAATGTTTCATTGATTCTTGCACCCAACAACACAACAAGATGACATTTAATAATAATACGAATAATTTAAGATCCTTATTTTGTAGCCGAATCTGTGCTGGTTTGTATTCACCGCCTCCAGTTTTCCCTTTGTTCTGCCACCAGCTAGCGCTGTGACGTAACTGTGACGTCGGCTGGAAATTGGTCTATTGGCTGATGCCAATAATAAAAAAAACCCAAAAAAAATATATATATACAGTGTATATATATATCGCCACTAATTACAACATTTATAATAACAACAACACTGGAAAACAAATCATGCTAGTAGCTGTGTTTTGAATCATATTAGTTGGTTTCTAAAAAAAAACCAGCCACTAGCTGGTCTTACTTGGTTTTTGAAACGTGGTTCCAGCCTAAGCTGGATTCTCAGTAGCGTGCTAAAGACCTTTCATTAAAAGAAAAATCGAAATATACAATAAAAGGCAAAACGCCAAAAAACATGACTTGCTTGACTGCAACGTTACTGTCATGACTAAAATGCTAAAATTTAAAACAAATACAAATCAAACAAAGTAATAATTTTTTAATTTACTTTAAAAAAAAAAAAAATTTAAAAAGGCAATTCACACTATCGGACAGTGCAGATAGCACCTCTTAATTACACGTCCTTCACAAGAAGAGCCAGGAGGCATTATTAGTGCACACAGGTGCGCTCTTTCACCGATTCATTTTGAAAACCAACTCCAAACTGCGGTAAGAGAATTTCAACACTGTCACCTAATGAGAATTTATTACTCTCAGGCTATTTCAGGAGATGACTGGAAGAGATTAGGCTGACAGCCCTAGTTTCCTTGAACCAGAATACACTGACACGTTCCCGTCATGAAAAACCCTGGAATGCCTGTACACTTTCATAAAAATGAATAATGTGAAAGAAAATGCATAATTTCCTTTATTTATTTGTTTTTTTTTTCTTTTTACTATTTTACATTTAAATGGAAGTGGTGAAAAAAGAAATATTGCCTCTTAAATTTCATCTGAAAGAGTGGGCACCAAAAAAAAAAAAAAAAAAAGCCTTTTTCAATTTATATGCTAATGATCTCCGAATTAAAATTTAATAACTGGGAGATATTGAAAAGCGCTCTTGAATTATACAAAAAATAAATCCTGAAAGAATAGACTAAAATTAGAAATTCAGGGCAGCACACAGGCCAGTGCTGAGCCCTGATTAAATTTTTGATGGAAATCAAAATTGCAAAACAAGCAGGAGATGAAAAGACTGAACCTGGTTTGTGATGGAGGGATATGCATGCATATGTGTGTGTGTATATATATATATATATATATAAGACACACAGCAATACATTTATATAAAATCATTACATTCCTACAATTTTGTGTGTTGTGTTTTTATTACTTGTATATATTTTAATTCATATTAGGGTTGCTTATTATAATATATGAATTATACATTTTTAAAATTACTGTATTCATAATTACATTCTCCACCTTTTCGTTTTGTTGGATGTTTTATTATTTGTTCCCCCAGAGATGTAATCGTCAGAGATCAGAGTTAGAAGAGCGCGTGTGCAGTTGGGTGTTATTTTTATAACCTGCACTGTTATTATTTTACCCGATGAAGACTGAGACACTGCCATACACTACAAATAAGGGTTACATGATCTATTCTTTTGCGTCATCAACATGTTATCGTTTTACGCGATTGGAAAGAACAATATTGTTGCATAATACTTTCATGTTTAATGCTTATTTAACATTTTTCTAGTGATAAAGTGCCTTTATGAATGGTTTAAATCATAAAACTAAATTAATAAAACTAAACCAAGAAACTGATCCCATGAAGGAAATCCCTAAAAGTATATATATATATATATGTATGTATGTATGAAGAAGCTCCTAAAAGAACCATTTAAGGTTCTACATAGAACCTTTTCTTCTAAGAGTAAGAGCCATCAGCTAAATATCTTTATTTAACAAACAAAAAAACGACAACAAAAAATTGTCTACAAGATTTTTCCCATGACTAAGATGAGACAGCAATGTCATTAAAGAATAACTGTAACTATATCAATGCACGAGAATAAAATGTAGTCAAAAATAGAAACTAGAGGAGACAAAAATATTACAGACTGTTTTTACAAGCCTCTACGAGCTTTCATTATGTCAAGAGTTTAAATCCCCCAATCAGAGATTTTCTCTTAAATGGAGACATTTTCTGACCGGTGTTTTACTTTGTCTTTGCAATCTGTTCAGCGATCTCCACCGAGATAATCTGGTTCAATAAAAGTCTCTTTCAGCCAGTCTGTGTTCTGTCACGAGACGATTGCGCTGTTTGTTTGCGGCTAAATCTGCCATCAAAGCGTCTCCGTGATCAACTGTAATAAATCCAAACATCTCGACTTTCTACGATCGTGGTTGCTGACAATACAGTCTTCTTTCATGCCGTTTTAACAGAAAAACATTCAAATAATTTGGAATTACTATTAGGAATTCCACTGTTTTATAAATGAATTTTATAAAATTTTACCCGTTTCATTATTTGATAGCCTATAGACCTTATGTAGCCCCTCCCCTTTTTAGCGCTGCGCTCATTGCCTTTTCCGGTCTGTATTTTCACAGTGATCTTGCGTATTTATGAATGAACGGCTCGTTTTAAAATCTTCCCGGTCG